GGCACAGAGGAGGCTTTGCCCTTCCTTAGAGAGGATTATGGCCTATCAGCATGGGATCTTTAAAGAGTTGCTTCATGAGAAAGATCCTAACCTAGAGTAGTGGAATGAATGGGAAGTATATCAGGGAACTAGGAGAAAGGACCAGAACACAGAGCACAGATAAGGTGAGCAGGAGCTTTGCAAGAGGAAAGTGTGAGGAATGGCTGCCCCTGTTGCCCCTAGGCCTTCAGAGCTTATAAAGAGAGCAGCATTGTTGTGAGGAAGTAGGGGGTGATGGATACTGGAGGTGGTTGGGAACCTAGGGATAGACTCCCAGAATCAGGGATGGAGGGGACTTGGGGGGACATTTCATTTGTTCTCCAGCCTTTGGGTAAAATTTAGGATTAAACATCTCACTATCAGTGGCAAAGGTTCTTAATCTAGAACCCATAGACCTCTAAGGGGCTTCACTGGATCTCCAGACTCCCTGAAATTATGTCTAAAATATTTTGTGTATGAGTTGGGTATGTATTTTTCTGAGGTTAAACACTGCTTTTTGTGGAGTAGTGGGTCCATCTGCCACTGTTGGATGGCTAGTTCCTGCCTGCCTGTCCCCCACTCTTGTTCTTGTTGGATGGTTTGCTGGTTTTGCCCCTCTCCAGGTCAGCATGTCTGATTCATAACCTTCTCCCTGCTGCTGATTTTAGCCCTTTCTCAGGTCCAACCTGCTGCAGGTGAGATAAGGACTTTATGACAGCCCTGGCTGGTGAGAGTCTCCTCCTCGCCCTCTCCCAGCTGTTACCCAGCAAAGCACCTTGGGGAGGGTGGGGCAGCCCACTTCCGGGGAGGGGGAGGGGAAGGGAGAAGGAAGTTGGTCTAAACCCGCCTCTTTCTCTCTCAGACTCCCTCCCTTCCTGTTCCCCTCCTGCCCCTTTCCTCCCACCTTGCTCCTGGTGTAGTGTCCTGAACTGCATGCATTTCCTGGCTACCAGGGCCTGGCCCGCAAGCAGCCGCGGGCTTTGTCCTCGTTGCTCTCCTTGCCAAGTCCCGTCTCTCTCTGCTAGTGGTGGTTTCGGTTGCGACACAGTCCAGGTTCCCAGGCAGGAGCCGCTGGGCCTGGCTGCTTCGCTACTTTTCACTGAGGAGGTGGTGGAAGGTGTCGCCTGCTATGGCTGAGTAAGGGTGGCTGCTGGAGCCGCAGCCCCCGCCCTGGGCCTGGTTCTTCCCGGCCTCTGTACTTTGCCCTCGCTGCCTGACAGGTTCTGCTGTGGCTCTGCTGAATGGAAGTTGCTGGTAGTCCTTGTCCCTTTCTCCAGCCGGGTATGTTTTCCTCTTTTTTTGCTCTGGGATTGCCCTTTCCTCCTTTTCCCCTCACACCCAAACACAAGACCTTTAAAGAATTGGTGAACGGAGACAGGCACTAGCACAGGCTAGTAAAATTCATGGGAAGGGTGAAGAGGCATTGACCAGGAAAGGAAGAGCAGCCACCAACAGAAGAGCCTCCCTTAGATCGAGTCAGCAGACTCAACAGAGTGAGAGGAAGGGGGTGGTGATAGGCAGAGGCCCAGGGAGGGCTCTCTGGTACTACAGTGAGGGGAGACGGGGATCTGGGGCGATCGCCCAGGGCTGGTGCCCAAGGGGCACTTTTCTCCCTCCACTCCACAATGCTGGGGCTTACTCTGCCCCTGCCCCAGCCAGGGAGTGCCTGCTTGTCACCCCTCCCAGTTTGGCCCCTTCCCAGCCGTGGGGAGGCCTCAGGATACTCGACTGCAGAGCCCCAAAGCGGAGCTTTTCTTGGGAGAGCTGGCAGTAGGTGCCTCCAGCATTAGGGAAGGGCCCCTGCTTACCTGAGTCAGCGCCGGGCCTCTCGGGGTGGAGGCTGTCTTCCAGGCAAGCCTGGCAGCCGCCTAGGCCAAGTTCTGAGATTCCGGGTTGAAGGGCCCACTGGATGGAAGGCTCTTTCCTTTTATCCCCACGTCCTGTGTTCTCTTTATCGAGGACCCCGAAGCTGTTTGGGCCCTACTTCTGAACTAGGCCCGCTTAGTGACCTGTGTGGTCTGCTGTTTGGTTCTAAGCACTGCCCTGAAGGACGACCCCTGTGCTCTTTCTGAAGGTTGCCTGAGAGCCATGGGGTCTGCTTGCAACAGACGGTTGCCTCAGACATTGGGGCCTGTCTGGGGTGTTGTGTCAGCCAAAGCTTTAGGACTGTCTGGTGGCCCATGTCTTAAACTAATGTAAGCAAGGAGGCTAGAGGTAGAAGGGAGAGTGTGGCTTTGGCCAGATCCTGTTTAGTTCGCCTGCAAGGGCAGCTAGTCCTCAGCCCTCTGCCCTGTTGGTAAGATCCGGGTCCAGGCTGAATGGGCCTAGTCAGAATCATGGAAGGGACTCTCTTACCTCCTCTTGGGCCTTCCGAAGCCTTCTCATGTGGGGCCTGTGTCCAAGAAACGTTTTCTACTGAGACTTTTCTCATTTCTGTACTTTCTCCCTGCGGACTCTCCTCACCCTGTTCCACATCCCTGCTGTGGGAAACATACTACAACTTAGAAGAGGCCAAGGGGATAAGAGACGAGCTACACACTTTGAGTCCTGAGAGTTGGGTGGTTCAGTCTTGAAAGGGATGGGTGACTTTTGGGGCAGGGGATCAACAGCACGCTATTGCGCTCTGCTTCTCTGGGTCCTAGACAAGCAGAATCTTCACTCTTTTACTATCCTGGATACCCAGCTTGGAACCAGTCCTTCCCAGCTGCCCTGTCCAGTCCCCTCCTGTGAAGTGTAGGAGTGCTGATGTAGGCCAGCAACAGGAGCCGGAGGGGAGGGCGGCCAACTCTCAGTCTGGACCTCTCTCCAGCGGGAGGGCCATAGCATCTCTTGTCAGTCTCCATCTGGGCTGCAGCTGGCTCTGGAGGACTCAACTTGGATGCGAAGTCTTGTTGACAAGAAGACTTCTGGCTTTTCAGGCAGTAGTATTTGGGAACTAAAAATAATAGCAGTAATAGTTGCTCTTTACTGATTGTTGTGTAAAGCATTTTATATGTATTCTCTCACCTGCCCCCTATGAAGTAGGGAATAGTTTATTGCCACTTTATAGATAAGGAAGCAATGTAGTAGGTGGCAGGTGGTGAGCTGTATTGAACAAAGCTCTTCGACGTCCACTAGACCATCTCCTGGCACAGATATGTGGGATCACCCCACATCTTCATCTTTTGGATGGTCTCCTTCCCCCTTTGTAATAATCTCTTCTCCCTCTTAAGGACGGTGTTGATAATAATAAAGCTAACGTGCTGAGTAAGTCGCAGATTTAGGATTTGAAACCTGGCAGTTTGTCTCTGGCACCTACTCTTAAACCCCTCTTGTGGTCATTCCTTGAAGTCCAGCGTGCAGCTGAGCCTGGCAGGGAATGCTGTCCTATGCCACACAGACCAGCCCCTGGGGTCAGAAACACCATGGGCAGAGCAGAGTGCATGACAGGCAATAGGCTTTCTTAATATTTGGCTTCGGAGGGGCAGATGGCCCAAATCCTCAGGTAGATGCTAAATCCCTATTCCAAATTTTGAGGGCTTAAAAACTGCCAAATCATATCCTCAGGAAAGGTGGGAGTGACAAGAAACTCCAGAGGTGATTTAGAGGTTACCAAGGAAACTTTTCCACCCATCTTCCTTTCTTGGGAGTTGGGACAGAAGGAAGGGCCCTGGTAGGCATCTAGCAGCACCTGCAGGGAGATGGAGCTGAGAATGAGAAGTAGACCTTCAGGACCCTGATGGATGTGACTCATAGTGCCCTTTGGTAGACAGAGCAAGTACTAGTGGGGCCTAGAAATGTTCTTCTCTCCAAGGGGAATGAACCCTAGAGTTCCTTTTGTAGGGGAAAAAGCAAATAATTGAAAATCTACAGGTCTAGTAAATGCTGTTTGAGGACCAAACAGGCTTAGGTGAGCTATGGGCTATCTGGACACCAGAGGGCAAGAGAGCTCTATAGGCTGGAGTGTACAGACAGCAAAGGCTTTGGGGACTTCCACGTGCAGAAGAGAGAACTCTCCCTGAGAGGCCAAGGAGGTTGAAAGGGACTTTGCTGAGATGTCAGGACCCTCTCCTTTCAGAATCTATTGTACACATGAGATCTTTTCTCCTTGAAGGTTCAACCCCATGTGCTTCTGGGATCTCAGTCAAGCAGCTCACCCCAAACCAGCCAGCAGCTACTAAGCAGAGAGAAAGAAAGGCCCTCCACCGACACAATGAAGAAGGGGAAACGTCAGTGGCAGATGCTTACTTTGTGGTGGTGTTTTTCTGCCCAAAAAGCATCTGGTTGGGGAAGCTCAGGAACCCTGGACAGTTCCTGGGTGCTACCAAGTCATTCTTTTCTTCTGTGGTTTTTGTGGACTTGGTTCACTTACAGCCGGAAGGGGCTGTGAAAGGAAGAACTTTGATTCACACTCCTCTGGTCACCCTGCTCCCCTCCAAATAGTCTCCTTGAATTTTCCAAGGCAGCTGTGGATGTTTCTGAGATGAGGCTCTGGCAGTAGCTCTGTCCCAGTGTGCTGGAGTGATGGCGTCAGGTGTTCTTTGAGAGATAAATCAGGGCTCTGGACAAGACTCAGACCAGACTTTTTAACAGTTATACCAAAATATAATTCACATACCATACAGTTCACACATTGAAAATGTACAAATAAATGTCTTTTAATAAATTCACAGAGCTGTGTATCTATCACCACAATCTCCTCACCCTTCTCCGCCCTCCTTAGACCTCCACGAATCTCTTATCTTTCTCTATGAATTTGCCTATTCTAGACATTTCATAAGAATGGAATCATACAATATGTGGGCCTTTGTGACCGGCTGCATTCACTTAGCATCATGTTTAATTGCCAACAAATAGGGCACTATGTGGATATTCCACAGTTTATCTGTTCTCCAGTTGATGGACATTTGTGTCATTTCCACTTTCTGGCTATTATATGAATATGGGATATTTTGAATGAACATGCATATACATGTGTGGACGTACATTTCCATTTCTCTTGGGTATGTACTTAGGAGTGGAATTGCTGGGTTGCAGTAATTCTGTGTTTAGTTAGCCCTTTGAGGAATGTACAAATCTTCGTATGTTTTCACCTGGACCATACCCTTTTTGTGTTATGTTTATATACCTGTTCAGTGCCATTGTCGTTATTTCTGCTTCCTCACACCCTTATTTGAGCGGTGGGGTGTCTAAGAAGGGCAGACTATTGCCTTGCTCAGACCCTGTCATTCAGTTCATTCATTGCACAAGAATTCATTGAGCAGCTGCCATAACACAATCTGCTTAGTTGCTGGGATGTAACAGTGAGTAAATGAGTCTTCTCAAACTTCCATTCCACTGGGATAGACAACAGATCAATGCCAAATGAGAAATAGTAAAGGTAAATGTAAAGTGTTGGGTGGCAGTGAGTGCGTCAAAGTCATTCTGATGGTGTTGCTCCTGCCTTTGAGATGCAGCCTTCCCACGGTGTGAACAGGCAAGAGGACGAATGTGGGGAACTAGAAGGGCAGCATACTTACAGATGCACATGTTTCTTCCCTGCAGCCCACCTTGGGACACCTCGACTCCAAGCCCAGCAGTAAGTCCAACATGCTGCGGGGCCGCAACTCAGCCACCTCTGCTGATGAGCAGCCCCATATTGGCAATTATCGACTCCTCAAGACTATTGGCAAGGGTAACTTTGCCAAGGTGAAGTTGGCTCGGCACATCCTGACTGGGAAAGAGGTAAGCGCTGGGGTGGGGAACATGGTAGCACCTCCCAACTGTTAGGAGCCCTGTAGGTAGTGGTGGGACTGCTACCACAGCCAATCTCTTGTTTACCAGATGGAAATGTGATCTGAACAAATGGGAGTGCCTAGAGGGATGGGACAAAAAGGAGGTAGAATAGAAGGGAGGAGGTAGATTTGAGTCCTGGGTTTAGCTTGGTCAAAGGGGTAATCTTGGGCTTTCTGTCTCATGTTCAGGTAGCTGTGAAGATCATTGACAAGACTCAACTGAACTCCTCCAGCCTCCAGAAAGTAAGCAGACAGCATCTCCTTTTCAAACCCTCTCTTAAGGGGTCAGTGACCTACTGACCCCATTTGAGTCTTCTCTTAAATCCCTAGTTTAAACTCTCTGGTCATTTCACTGTCCCCACTATCCCTCTCCATGGTTTTGCTACCTGTAGTGCTTTTGCTGGATCATCTGTGTTGGCTCCTCCTGATTGGGCTTCTTGGCCACAGGCACTGGCTCTGTAGAATGCTTTCTGGCCCTTCCCAGCCACTTGGCCTACCTATCTGACCTACTTCTGCACCTTGTTATCTTTTGGCTTTTGGCCAGCCCTATGCAAAAACACATGTTTGTAGCCATTACTAGAAACACATTCCAAGATCCGGAATGATGGAAGGTGGGTCACTCTGGAAGCACAGGGAGAAGGGGAGACAGGAACCAGCCACTGGGTTCTGTGCCAGCTGTGTTTTAGAGAATGGGTATTGAAGACGGGTTTTAGAAGCTAAACTTGTTTCACACCTGTGACAGTGAGTGCAGACTAAGTACAGGCACTCCCAGTTTTTCTTCTCACCTCTAGGCTCCTCTTGGCTAAAAGTTACAGGGCCATGTGCATGTAGTCTTAGTGTGATGAGGTTGGACTTCTCCTGCCCTTCTTGACTTACAGTGGGAAACTAAGGTCTCACTTAGCTGGCTGGGGAAACCCTCCAGGTGGGAACACATACCTCCTTGCTCATGAAACTATGAAAAGTAGGTAGGGGCCAGAAAAGGAGACTTTCGTTTGCTGAAGGGGGACAGCTTGCTAGTAACCAGTTGTAGGACTGGAACCTCTGTGTCCTCTCCTTCCATCCTGGGCCCTGGCAGGTAGGAGGAGGAACTCTCCCATTTGGCTCCCAGAAAGCTGCCCTTACTCAGGTCAAGTCATATTTCCTTTGTGTCCTCATACTCCAGCTGACCCTAGTTCCAGTTTCTGACCTGAATTAACCTAGTACTTTTCATCTCATGGCAGATTGAATTTTTTTTTTCATGAGCACATTGTGTGCACAGTGACACTGGGAAGCTTGGGACGAGGAATTGGGGGCTGTTATTGAGAGAGACGCTCTCGGAATTGAGAGTGTGTGGGTTGAGGTGCCCTGACATGCTGACAGCCAAAACCAAAGTGTTTTCTATTTTTTGTTACCCGTGGGATCCCCTCAAGGTTCTTGGTTCAAAGGAAACATTGCTGTCATCAGTAGGGCTTCCCTGCTTGGAGCTTTTCAGAAGAAAGGGAAAGGGGGCTACTCTTGACATGTTGGCTCAGACCCTACACAGTAAAAGCCAGCTTGGTGTGGGCCACTTGGTCTTTGGAGCAGTCCAGCCTGCCATCACTATGATTGCCAGAGTCAGCTAGGCCATCTGATTTTCCACCCCTCCCCCCTCTTTTAAAATATATCTTTATTGATTTCAGAGAGAGGAAGGGAGAGGGAGAGAGAGAGATAGAAACATCAATGATGAGAGAGGCATTGATCAGCTGCCTCCTGCATACCCCAACTGGTGATTGAGCGCACAACCTGGGCGTGTGCCCAGGGAATCGAACTGCGATCTCCTGGATCCTAGGTCGATGCTCAACCGCCAATGCCAGGCCCACCTCCTTTTTCCTCCCTGCCTCTTCCTGACTGGCTGGAAGGCACCAGTACCAGACAGATGTAGCCATTTGTCTTTTAACACCCTCTGTTACCAAAGCCAATCTGATTCTGGCCAAATGACTGTCTAAATTTTATCCCAGCAATGATCCCTAAAGGACAGACATTGAAGAATAGAGCCCCCTCAGGGTTCTAGACAAGCCCAGAAAACTCCATCCACACTTTCCCAAGAGAACGCCCTTCCAGGTCATGTGGACACCCTCCGGGAAAGAACCCTGGCAGCTGTCTCGGGGCCCCATTTCAGTGCTGCTTTCCATCAGTGCCCCTGAGGTGGGGTCCAGGATTTTTTTTGCTTCATTCAAGACAACTACCAGGGGGGAGAAAACGAGAGAAGCCTGGCCAGTTTGACTCAGTGGTTAGAGCGTCAGCCTGCGGACCAAAGGGTCTCGGGTTTGCTCCCCAGCCCCAGTCAGGGTGCTTGCAGGAGGCAACCAATCAATGTGTCTCACATCGATGTTTCTCTCCAACCCCCCTTCCTCCCTTCCACTCTTTCTAAAAAAATCAATGGGAAAAATATCCTCGGGTGAAGATTAACAAAAAAAAGAAAGAAAGGGAGCCAAGGTCAGAATCAGGTTCCTGAAGAATGGACAGCCTGTCTCGGCTTCTCTTTTCCAGCTCATGAAATTGCTGGGATTTCATTAAAGAAAAAAATGTTCACTTCATTTCATAAACTATACTCCAGACCTCACCCACCCTCCACCCCAAGAAAACTAGTTTTGCTCTTTGTGCAAGTAGTGAGGCCTGGAAGTTACAAAAACCCCACCTCCCGTTCTCTGGCCTCCGCAGAGGGGATGGAGTTCATTCCTGTCACCTTTATGGAAATGTATGGTTCAGAGTCCCTGATTTTGTTTCACAAAGAGAGCGTGAGTGTGTGGAGGTGGATTTGATTAAAATTGGCATCAGCTATATATAGGAGTGACTTCTGTCCCCATCCCAGGGGCCCAGGAGAGGAAGGCCTGCCCACTAGTGCAGAGCCCTCTGACTTCTGTAAATCAGGTGACAGGGTCCCCCTTCAGCACTCCCCCACCCCTCACACAGACCAAGCTGGATTCTCTGTCACTGAACTTTAGTTCTGAATATTCTGAACATGGGTTCACAATCCTTCCTTCAGAGGCACCCAACCAGAATCTGTCTGCCGTGCGGGGGCAGGATTTGGGTAGACTGCAGCAGAGGGTGAGCCTGGCTTACCCGGGTGCTGAGCTTCAGGGTACAGGCAGCAGGAGCCCAGCTTCCCTCCCGCTGACCCTCCTGCTCTCCCTCCTCCTGACTTCTCAGCCCTCAGAGGCGGGCGTGGATGTGGATGATGCAGGCAGCTGCCCTGTTTCTGTTCCTTGCCCATTTTCTTTTTTGGAAAAAGAATCCTAGCAGTGACTCTTTTGGAGGGGACCTGAGGAAAGCAAGTTGAGCAAGCATGACCCCCGTTATCTTATTTTTCAGCTATTCCGGGAAGTAAGAATAATGAAGGTTTTGAATCATCCCAACATAGGTGAGAACCAGTTGTCATTCCGCCCTTTTCTCCTACATCAGGGCCCCTTTCCCAGCATGGATCCTTCTCCCCCAGGCCCTCGCCTTCTGAGGCCGCCGTCTTCAAGGGCGCCTCTGGGGAAGCCCAGCTCAAAATGCAGCTCTGCCTGGGCACGTGGGGCTGCCCTGAGTGTGGCTGCTCTGAGAGGAACTTGTCCTCGGGAAGGGGGGTGCGAAAGGGGGACCTTTCATCCCTAGAATGCCCCTGTACATGTTGGGCCTCTATGTGTGGCCCCTCCTACTTTTTTGACATATGGCTTGGCTTTTTCTCTTGTAGTTAAATTATTTGAAGTGATTGAGACTGAAAAAACTCTCTACCTTGTCATGGAGTACGCCAGTGGAGGTAGGTATGGACCTGCCTCTTCCTGCTGTGCACCCACTGCCCCAGCCCCAACCAGCTCTGACCTAGGCCTGTGCCTGTCTCTTATAGGAGAGGTGTTTGATTACCTAGTGGCTCATGGCAGGATGAAAGAAAAAGAGGCTCGAGCCAAATTCCGCCAGGTGGGTGTGACTCCTTCCCTGGAGTATGGGTCCGACCTTGGCCTTTTGAGGTCTGGCATACAGGGAGGGGCTTCCTGTCTGTAAGTGGCCTTTGAAGGGTCCTTTGGGCTTTGTTATCTATGTGACAGCTTGGCATGAGGTCCTAGGGTCCCGGCTCTGCTGGCCCCTATGGCCTACTCTGCAGCTCTGGGCTAACGCTTCTTCCTTCCTTTCAGATAGTGTCTGCTGTGCAGTACTGCCACCAGAAGTTTATTGTTCATAGAGACTTAAAGGTAGGCATGCTCTCCCTCTTGCACCTTTGAGTCGGGGCCCGATGGTTCATTGTGCCCCTCCATTCACCATGACATAACCATCAGGTCTGAGCATTCAAGGAAGCACCGGCCTTTAATACTTTGGAAATGAGGAAGCCCCTGGGGTTGCTTCTAATGTAGGCCTTACGACTGGGCTTAGGATCCTGATCCAGCCAGCGGGCAGAGGCTCTCAGCCATTTCCCCCCTGGGCCATCACCTTATAGTGCTGCCAGGCGGAAGGAGCACTCCAGCCTTTGCTGGTCCTTCAGACAGCCTGGCGGCTGACTGCGGGAAGAACGCTGACTGTTCTCACGCCTGCGGCACAGCTGCTTGCAGACGTATGTGCACACTGAGATGTTAGAATGTGAGACTGCCTATGGGTCTCCTGGCCAAGTCCTCACAGACATGACCGTGATTAACCTGGGCCTGGCACAGAAGGTTTTGCAGCTCAGAGCGTCTCTGAGCCTTCAGATCCTAGCTCTCACATGGCTGCCTGTGTGAGGAGTGGCCTGCGCTGCCCTCCTCCAGCCCAGCCTGTTCACACTGATTGAAGGGCTGCCCTGGAGTTGGTGGAAAAAGTCCTAAGACTGGAGATGACTTCCTGTTTGTTTTTCCATTCCCCTCAGCTCCTTCCTGTCCAGTGCCTTCGTGTGGTCTACTTGGTTCCCTGACATTTTCCGTCTTACCTCCCAGGCAGAAAACCTGCTCTTGGATGCTGATATGAACATCAAGATTGCAGACTTTGGCTTCAGCAACGAGTTCACCTTTGGGAACAAGTTGGATACTTTCTGTGGCAGTCCCCCTTATGCTGCCCCAGAGCTCTTCCAGGGCAAAAAGTATGATGGACCCGAGGTGGATGTGTGGAGCCTGGGAGTCATCCTGTACACACTTGTCAGCGGATCTCTGCCTTTTGATGGACAGAACCTCAAGGTGGAGTGAAGCGCAGGCTGAGATTATTTTTATTACTTCTCGTTTCCTCTCTCAGCCTCTGGTCTTACCCTTGACCTCTCACCTTTGCCACCTCTCTACATTTCTCCCACACCAGAGCTTCAGAGAAGGGCTTGCAAAAAGTAACAGTTAAAGGTCTTCTGCATCCAGTGTAATAACTTCATTTCTCTTTTCGAGGGATGGGATCAGCTCTGTGTCCATTCATCCCCCCAAGGCACTCAGGACTGCAGGCCTTAGGCTGGTCAGACCAGAGGACTCAGGATATTTGACTTCACCGCCTCTCTGGGAAGGGGCCATGTCCCTAGCTCTCTGCCTCCTACTGTATTAGGTTTCTCAGGAGCCTGGATATTGGGTTTCTTAACCTTGGCTTTGGAGTGATTTCAGTTTCCTTCCTGCAGGAACTGCGGGAGCGGGTACTGAGGGGAAAATACCGTATTCCATTCTACATGTCCACGGACTGTGAAAACCTGCTTAAGAAATTTCTCATTCTCAATCCCAGCAAAAGAGGCACTTTAGAGGTGAGCAGTTGAGAGCCCAGCTGGCCAGAAGGTCCCGGGTTCCCAAGGAAACCTTCACTCTGAGTCTCCTTCCTCTCTGCCCTTCCCCTTCACTTTGCTCCCCAGCAAATCATGAAAGATCGATGGATGAATGTGGGTCACGAAGATGATGAATTAAAGCCTTATGTGGAGCCACTTCCTGACTACAAGGACCCCCGGCGGACAGGTGAGGCTGAGCTGGGCCGTGAGGTTGAGCCTGCTTAGGATTCCGGACCAGCCTTAACTATATGTCCCTCCCGTGCAGAATTGATGGTGTCCATGGGTTACACACGAGAAGAGATCCAGGACTCACTGGTGGGCCAGAGGTACAACGAGGTGATGGCCACCTATCTGCTTCTCGGCTACAAGAGCTCCGAGGTGTGTGCCCCTGCTCCATTCCCCAGTCTGGCCAGCCCTGCTGGCAGTGGCACCCCCATGCTTCTATACCCCGTTGAGGGCAGAAGCTCATCTCTGAGTAGGTGTGCTGTTTCTGCTGATGAATTTTAAGCCTGAGCTCTGGTGGCCAAGGTCCTCTGGTCTTTGCTTTCACTGATCTTCATCAGTGAATGAATAGGGAAGCTGGTGGGGTCTGGTCCTGGGTCTGGGTTTCCATATGGGTGAGTAGATCTGGCTCGGTCTGTGTTGGTTAGACTGGGTCTAAGTCAGTCTGTCTGGGTCAGTTCTGTGTTTATCTGGAAATATTTCCATGTTTGTCTCTCTGTTTTTAGAAGTGTGCATCTCTGGGTCTCTGGGTGCATGGGTCCCTGTGTTTTTCTTATAAGAGTCTCAAGTCTGTGTGTTGCTTCTGGCTGGTACTTGTGTCTGAGTATGTGTAACTGTGTGCATGTATGTCCAGTCTCTCATCTGTGTATTTGGAGGCTTCATGAGTAATGTTCTGTCCATCTGGGTCATCATGTCTTATTCTGAGTCTATGGGTGTCTGTGGATGGGCACCTTGATCTCCATCTGTGTCCCCACGTACACTCATGGCCTCTCCATCCTGCTCTCCCCCTGGTGGTTGGCTCCCTCTCTTGGTTCTCACCTTAGCCTGCCCAGGAGGTATGCAAGAGGTCTCTGTGTCTGGATCTGTGTTCCTGTGGCGTGTGCATCCCTCTCTGAGGGTGGGGGTCTTTGTGGGAGGTGGTGTTTCTGTCTGTGTCTCTCAGGATCTGTGTCAGGTACATGTTTCCACAAGTGTTCAGTTGCACATTGGTCTTGCAGGGCCTGGTCATAGGAGCCCTGGAATAGATTTGTGGATCTCTGCCTAACTTCTGCCCTCCCTTTTCTGTTCTTGTAGCTGGAGGGCGATGCCATCACCTTGAAGCCCCGGCCTTCAGCTGATATGACCAATAGTAGTGCTCCTTCCCCCTCCCACAAGGTACAGCGCAGCGTCTCAGCCAACCCCAAGCAGCGGCGCTTCAGCGACCAGGGTGAGTGCTTTTGGGAGTTGCAGGTGGGAACTCACCCCTCTGCTGAGAAGTCACAAGTTCTGGGGGTTTTAGATGACACAGCTGAGTTTTACTCCCCATTCAGCCACTTATTAGAAGCATGGTCTTGGGCAGTTCCCTTCCCTCAGCCTCTGTGAAGTGGTGCTGGTGAGACTGGACAGCACCGCACGTAGGGTGGGCACTCCATGGGTCCCCCTCCTTACCCATTCCCACTGTCACTCTGGCCCAGCAGCTGGTCCTGCCATTCCCACCTCAAATTCCTACTCTAAGAAGACTCAGAGTAACAACGCAGAAAATAAGCGGCCTGAAGAGGATCGGGAGTCAGGGCGGAAGGCCAGCAGCACAGCCAAAGTGCCTGCCAGCCCCTTGCCTGGCCTAGAGAGGAAGAAGACCACCCCCACCCCCTCCACGGTGAGCCACTTGTCCCCTCCTTCCTCCTCCCCATCCCCCCTCCTGCCTGTCCTCTCCAGGCAGCTCTTAGTCCAGACCCACTCCCTTTGGCTGCCTACCTGACCTTTCCTCTGGGACCACTTTTGCAGACTGTAGAAAGCGCAGCCCCTAAAGTAAAAGCAAAACCATTTTTTCCCTACCCGTGCCTGCTCTTGGTGGAGGGAAAGCAGGTACTGTGACCTGCCAGTAAAATTCTGGTTTTCTGTGACACAACCTTCTTCTCTGTTCCCCACAGAACAGCGTCCTCTCCACCAGCACAAATCGAAGCAGGAATTCCCCACTTTTGGAGAGGGCCAGCCTTGGCCAGGCCTCCATCCAAAATGGCAAAGACAGGTGAGCAGGCCTGGGCCCTGCCTGCCATGCTCCCCAGGAGCCACTTCTCATGGCAGTGACATCTCTCAGCAGCTCCACTTCCCCTCCCTGCTCCCTGGAGTTCTGTCCTGGCGCTGTTCAGTCCAGCTTTCCACACACTAGACCTCCTCCCTGCCCTCCACTCCCCCAC